TCATATGTTCTACATAATTATGATAATATTTATAATGCAAAACATCTTTTTACTATTTAAGATAAAAAGTTGTCTCTATTATCATATGTTGTACAAAATGATAAAATTTAAAATAGATAAAAAGATGTCTATATTATCGTATTTTCTACATAATAATAATATTTATAAACGTTTTAATTTAATATGAAATTATTATTTAATAGATAACAATAACGATTTATTTATTTTTAAATTTTTTTTTTTTTCTATTTTAATCATATAACTTTGTGTATGCAAAACAACTTCAAATTCCAACCTTATCTTTTATAATATAGATCAATATAATAACAATACTAAATATCATTTTTTATATTTTTTATGAAATTATTATTTAATTGTTAATAACAATGATTTACTTATTTTTAATATAAAACATTTTTTTATATCTCACGCAACGCACGGGCATTCACCTAGTATAATAATAAAGATCAGTTGTTTTGAGGTGCATTGGTTCTCTATTTTAGCTGCATTTATTGTTTCTTGATTAAATAAAAAACTCTTAATTGCATTTGTTGTTTTTTTTTCTTGGAAAGAAATAAATGAGTTCAAAAAAACAACCAATTAGTGTTGTGGTATACATCTATTTTAGAATCAAACTAGGGAAGAATTCCGCGTTGTGGGTGTTGGAGTTGCAGAGGTTGGAGGGTATTTCATAATGTTTTATAAAAAACAGGAAATAGCAACAAACTTTACAATGCTTTACATATGGCAAATTTTTCAAAATATAATGAATTCTCTTACAATCCATGAAGCTAAACCACTTGCTTTTGGCAATGCCTAAAAAATATGCACAATAACAAAATATCAATCGATTTCTATGCAATACGTGGCTGTCATATGAAGGAATCTTGTTTTTGTCCTATGTCAATAAGTTTTGCAATGAATATTCGTCTGAAGGTTTATTACGCTTGCCAAAGGGTAAAAAAGTCAAAAGCATATAATGTTTATTTTAGCAGCTATATGTAGAAACACCATAAATCAATGATATAAAGTACTTAAAGAGGGTGAATACAATATTTTAATCCGCTTTAATTGCCTAATCTGAAGTAACATTTTCTATTTATGGCATTTCACTCTCAAAAATCGAAAATGCACCTAATGACAATGTTGTTATGTTTTTGGAAAAGAAATAGCAAAAGAAATTTCAAAAAACTGAAAAAAAATGTGTAAACCGAAAGTACGGTGCTATTTACTGGTTTTACGTAAATAACAATATTTAATAAACACTACTTGTGTGTGTATGTGTGTACATCTTCCTTGTTTTGTTTATGGTAGCGTTGTGTTCTCTCCCTCACAATATGGTTTTCTTCTTCGGTTTTCCTCAATCTCTAAGATACCAAAGTAAACGATTGGATCTGATGGTGCTTCCATCTATTGCTATTGCATTGAATAAATTAGATATTATATAAACAATATAATATCATTTTAAAAAGATAACAAATCAACTAACCTTATCATGGAAACCGTCAATAGGATCATTGGTGATTCGAGATATCAATGGATTTACTGCTTCCAAATTTGCACCTATAAGTGCAAAAGGCTTAATTTAACTTCCAATCGAAAAACCATATGTATATATGTTAACAGTTAGTTGTTATTTAATTGAACCAATAATTTCAAATCAAGAACGTAAAAGTAATCACTAATTTATGAATATATGTATCTTGTAAATGCAGAAAGCATATACCAAAAGTCCTTAAGTCCATCATGATAACCTTCTCCTTTCACATTTCGACCTTCCCTTTCTTCCTGCGTATGTGCTTGTTTTCCCAATGTCTCTGCTTTTACAGATAACACTCTTGTAAATCATTAAACTGTTACAATCAACAAAACATGATGAAACAAATACAATAAATCAAATACAAAATAGTGTTTAAATGGGGCCCACAGGTCGGTTAATGAAATAAGAAATTTTGTGAATGAGAAGTGTGATGACGTGTGCATGGACGCATCTTTTTCTTGCTATAGTTGATCCTAAGAAAATCTTACCTAATAGCCATATGGATCCCTTAAATTAGCCAATATGAAATCAAATAAGGAAACCCAAGACTACCCTAGTAACATGAGGAGAAATTTATATCATCTCATTCATAAAAAAATAATAAGAAAAATAATTGAGGGCAAATCAAGAAAGGTAGTACCTTTACATTACCATGGTATCTTTAAGATGTGAATCATGCATCAATGTCTTCCAGATCCCTTAAGTGACCTACATCACCTAAAACAAAAAAGCAAAGGCGCATCAGCAAGGTTGGTAGGAGTATCATTAAAATATGAACACAAAAACAAAAATCTTCAATGTCGCATTTTGTCAAACACATTGTGTGTAGTAAGCCAATACTTATCTTGAAATCATAAATTCCATGAATGTTCGTAGATTAGTCAAAATCAGTTAACCGAGACCTTTCTAATGACAAAGACCTCTTCATCATCAGTAAATGATCATGGTAATCCAGCCAAGCTGGTTCACTAACCACCAGTGCGCCGACGTTGCAAACACCATTAGTATCCTGCAAGTCCGCCAAATCCATTAACTCCACATCGAACAACTGAAGGTCTACCAAAATCCTTTCTTCAAGAAGAAGGAGAAGAAAATTCAACAACCCATTAGTTTAATTAGAGGAAAATTAGGGTAATCAAAAGAAGAAAGTTGAAAATCAACCATCTTCATCACCCAACTGAGTTCGTTGTCCATAAACTGAGAGAATGTTGAGACCGATTTTGAAGAACTTCAGATAAGAAACATTCAATCGATGCAGAAAGTGGAAGAATCAGAAAGCTCCATATTCAAATACAGTCCACTTGATGCCTCTAGCCATGTTGAAGAAACCAAAGTACAATCTTAAACAATACAAACAATAAGCGAGAACAGGAAAAACGAAAAAAATCAATTAAGCCATAAAATCACAATAGAAAGCCAATCATACCAGAGAAGACGGAAAGTGGACGACGGTCTTCAACATCGTCATGTTCCACCGTTTCTCATTTTGCACTGCAAGAGAAGTAGAAAAAACCCTGAGTAAAAGCCACAAGCAGTGGAAAGAGATTCGTGGCAAGCATATGTGAAGCGGTGGAAGATTTTTGGAAGTCATCTATCGGGTACGGAGGCGGTGGATTTAATGAGCAACACATGGAAAGCACTACCAACAAAAAAGGAAAAATAAATTTAAAAAAACCCATAAAAAAGAAAAGAAAAAATAATAGAAAATTTCCAACCAATTAGAAAGAAGTACCGGTAACCAAGGAGTTCAAAATTAGTATATTATATAATTAAAATGAATACTACAATAGTTAGTGTTGTGAAAACTATATTCATTTTAAGGCCATGCTACATTACAACAAATTGTAGGAGATTTAATTATGTATTGTTTTTGCTGATTGCATGTTATAAACTATTTTAATCCAGTAGACAACAATCAAGCAATAACAATACTCAAAGTAAGCCAAAACATGTTCCTTTAAAGTAAAAAATATGGTGGGAAGGGGTAGTTTGATTGGTGATCGTTTTACTTCTTATGTTCATGGACAGATGCAAGCCTAAATGAACAAGCTAAAGGTCACGTGTTTGAAAGAAACAGAAACAAGCTAGAAGGCTGAATGTAGACGAAATCCAGTTTTTCTTTATCTTTGTTCCAACCCATATCAGTCGCATTAAGCATTTTTCTAAATCTATCAAGCATTTTTTTCAGCATTTATCAATTGTTTTTATGGTAACTATTTTGATGTTTTTTCCGGTTACAAGTATATAAGATATAAAATTTTATATAAAATACACAACTTTATATAAGTTTTGATGTTTGTACATTGCTATTACAGTAACATAACCCATTATTTATTTATTTATTTATTTATTTATTTATTTTTTTCCTGTTACAGGTATATAAAGTAAACAATTTTGACCTATGGACCAAGTTTGAGTTGAAACCTTGAATATAGGATTAAATTTAAAAAAGGATTTTGTTTTGGACTAAACACATTAAAAGTCATAAAGCACATATACCATTTTGTATTTGACTCTATTCGGGTAAAATACAAAAAGTATAAAAGTGGTTCATTGTTTTTACTGTGTTTAGTCAAAATTTGAAAACTTTTCAATTTTTTATCGTAATATATATGTTTTTTCATTTTTGGTCCTAATATCATGGTTTCTTCCCCACACATTGTGTCTGCTACTGTATGTGTATGATTGTTTCCTCATTATATAATCTTCCTTATATTAGCAATATACTTATGATTCCTTAATTACACATTGTAGCAACACATTTGCATTTTTTACTTATAATCTAAGAAATACGGTACATGAATATATATGGATATTTGTAGCGAAATTTTGATTCTAAACTTTAATAATGTATCGTATGTTTTGGGATTTTTGGCTACTATAATCAAACACCCAACTTTAAATCCACTTATTCATGTATTTATTTACTCCTGATGGCTGGTTCTAATCATGTATCTTCATATGACAAAGTTGTGGGATGTATCACTGTAGTGAATATAAGGAAGATGTTCTCCATGGTAGGAACCAAATCATGAAATCGAGTAGATTATGTGAAAAGGCCTGCATCAGTGAAAGATGTTACTTTTTTAAACCCTTCCCAGCTCAAATGTAAAGTAAACATATACTCTCTAGCGTCTTATTTTCAATAAAACTTATTTCTTGCTGTTCAAAAAAATTAAGAAAAATAAAAGGTCTAACAATGTTTAACATCTCTTTTGGTAGGCAGTTTAACAGTTCTTTTGTAAGAGGTCTAACAATGTTTCATCTCTTAATTTGGCCTTTGGGTAGGCTTTTACTTCATGTCGATGTTTCCAAAGCGTTATAAAAAGACGAAACTTATATATACCAACAATTTTAAGTGCTATATATACAAGTTTTAGATGGCTTACCTATCACACAAACTTAACCTGTATACTTGTGTTGGAGTCTGAGGAAGATCCTTAATTCTTTCAAGATCAAGATGGCTGCAGTTATGAAAATAATGGGTGTGATCGGCATCATCATGTTGTTCCTTGTTGCGACAGCTGTAAGTGACGAGCATCCAAATATTCCTTGCTGCGATGGGGAGTACACTTCATGCTGTAAATCAGCGGATGATGCTAATGTTACTACATTTGGAGTTGTAGTCGGTCGTAAGGGTGCTCTGGGCCAACATGTCCATTTTCTTAATAACCACCCATGATAGGCCCCAGTTACTATGAAAAACCCTGGATTGTTTGTGTGTCGTGTTTTTGTGTTTCGTTGAAGGTATTTGCGTGCATGTTATTTATCCTTTGGTTTTGCGTTTTTCCTATATGGATTCCTTGTCCTGTTTGCACCATCAATAATAAAGGGTCCTGGATTGAAGTGGTCGGAAACTCGAGTAGCATTACTATTGTTACTGTGTGAATAAGGTCAATTGTAATGTCATGAATAATGTATAATAAATTTCCTCCACTGTCGTTGAAAGTTGGTGTATTGTCTACTTCCATGTATCCTTTTCTTATTGCAATAACATGATCAGAAAAATATTTTAGAAGAATAGAAGGTGTTGTTTTGCTTCTTTTCACCTTAGAAACATGGGTGGGAGAGGGGATCCGGGATTATTGGTTAATAACCAATGAGGAATTAGGGATTGCGGCGATTGCTGCATGTTAATTATATTTTTGGCTGATTAAAATAATATAAAATATTGGTATAAAACATATTAAAAAAACATATGCTTTAAGGATCTAAACTGACATCCCGTTCTCAAGTTCAACTTAAGAAAAAAGGAAAACAAAATAGTGAAAGTGAAGGAAAGTAAAACAAATTGGTATTCCTAAGTTTCATTAAAACAATAAAGTGGAAAGAAATATAATCATCATTTTCCCTCCTAACTTTGCTTCCGATTTGTAATGATTTTTGATAAAATAACAAAATATTTAATTTTTTTTTTCCACTTCTCTCCAACTAGAAAACACAAAACACAAATTTCTTTTCATTTATTTTCTCTTCTTCTTCTTCTCTGTCATTACTTTCTTTTCTCTTCTCCTTTATTCTTTGCTACAACTCCAAAACAAAACTAAACATGTGATGTTTTGCTTCTTTTCACCTCTCATGTAACAACATTGTCGTTAAAAACATGCGGTTGGAGAGGGGACTGGTGATTATTAGTTAATAACCAATGGGGAATTGGGGATGGTGCTAACTGTTGCATGTTATATTTTTGGTTGATTAAAATAATATAAAACATTGATATAAAGTGTATTAAAAAAACATATGCCTTAAGGATCTAACTAACACCCCGTTTCCAAGTTCAACTTAATAAGAGAAAGGAAAGAAAATGAATGCAAATGAGAGGTAATTAATACAAATTGGTGTTTCTGAATTTCATTAAAGGAAAGAAGTGGAAGGAAATGAAATCATCACTTTCCCTCATAACTTTCCTTCCGATTTGGAAAGAGTTTTGTGAAAAACAAACATAATGTTTAATTTGCATTATACTTCTCTCCAACTCGGAAACACGAAAGATAAATTTCTTTTCATTTCTTTTCTCTTATTCTCTTTCCTTATTTTCTTTTCACTTCTTTTTTATTCTTTCCTACAACTCCATAACAAAACAAACCATTTAATAAAATGTTTTTCCGCTTAGCCACAACATTCAAAAACCATATATATATATATATATATATATATATATATATACACACACCCCCCCCCTTAAGGGAACTAACGTTCATGTGGTTTTTGAAAAGAAAACAAAATGTTTTTCCACTAAGTCACACACACAAAGGCAGTGCACCTAATATAAAAAAAAAAAAAAACTAAAAATTAAACTGTAAGGCTGAATTGGGGCAATGACCCGAGACCCTAAATACTTCATTTATGTCCACCATTATGTGTTAACCTATATATATATATATATATATATATATATATATATATATATATATATATATATATATATATATATATATATATATATATATATATATATATATATATATATATATATATATATATATATATAGAGAGAGAGAGAGAGAGTCAAGATCAAATAAGAAAGAAATTCTTGGTAGGAAGGTAAGAAGTTTTTTTTCTACATATTTTTTTCTCGAACAAACAAAATGAATCATTATATGATTCATTTGTAAGATGATTCACAAGAAAAAATTCTCAAAAAAACATCTAGATGATTCATTTATATAATGATTTTGTTGTTATTCACTAAAATTGTCATAAAAGTGAATTTTTCCTTAATTTACTTAAAAATGAATCATAAAGATGTTTTTTTTAGAATTTTTTCTTGTGAATCATCTTACAAATGAATCATCTAGTGATTCATTTTTTTTGTTCGTCAAAAAACTATATAGAAAAAAAAAATTCTTTCCTTCCTACCAAAAAAATTTCTTACCGGATATATATATATATATATATATATATATATATATATATATATATATATATATATATATATATATATATATATATATATATATATATATATATGATAGATAGATAGATAGATAGATAGATAGATTGATAGATAGAGAGAGAGAGAGAGAGAGAGCTAGGTTCATGTATTTAAAGTAATTATTGTGTTATTGTATGTATAAATGTGAGCCAATCAAAATTAAATAATTAAATAAATAATTAAGGGTAATTTAGTAATTTAATTAGTAACTTCAAAAAATAATCCATATAATCAGGGTATTGGCTTTTAACCTAATTTCTCAAGTTTATATTAAACTCGTGTTTTTTCTTTAGTCGCTCAATCTCCACCGATTACAAGCCCTGGCCGATGATACAAAGCTGTTGCCACCATGGTCCGCCCCAAATTTTTCTAAAAGTCATCTTCCCGTACATTCATCCGCCCATTTCTGCTTCGAACTCATGGTTTACGTCTCCAAGCTACCCGTCGTCCTCCTAGTTATCCTCAGGTTATTTCCATAAGTCAGATTATATAACTACGTTTACTATGTATTGTTGGGAACTCTTCATTTGATAACTCGATGGATCATGAAGGTGGGAATCCAGTGGCGGATCCTAGGATATGGAATCGGAACCATAATGATATGACTTTCTTCGGAGATTACGATGAAGACGATGACGAAGATGATGAGGAAGAGGAGGAAGATGACAAGAGCATGTATCTTTTGATTAGGTTTGTTGAGAACGTGTTTAAGAAGATATCTAAGTAAGCTCGCAAAGCCGTTCGATCTGTTTTTCCCATCAATATCCCCACCAAATTGATACTGATTTTCATTTCTCAAGTTATCAATTTGATCCAATTTGTAGGTTTTAGCTGGTTTTTACTACAATTGAGTTCAGATTACTAAAATTGGGGCAAATTAGATTTAAATTCAATTATGATTTATTCGTGTATACACAAAATAAACGAACTACAAAGATTTTTTCTTTGCCGATTTGATCCTTTTTATATATGCAAAAATCAGTAGCTTTCTGTTATATTCTTGATATGTATTCAATTTCAACCTTTCATTAACCTACTTTCATCTAATACCTAGTATCTTGCATTCATACTTTGAAATTGTTCATTCTTTATTACCATACGAACTTACTATATGCTCAATGCCTTATATAGGTAGGATTCTCTGTTAATGGAGTTATAATCACAAATTTCAATTCTATTGGAATGGAATCATGAATTCTAATTATATTGGAATGGAGTCATGAATTCCAATTCTGTTGAAATGGAATCATGAATTCTAATTCTTTTGGAATGGAGTATGGATTTTTTTCTCACTGATTTATGCATGTTTGATAATTCTTGGTTATTGGTTTTGGTGCAATTCACAAGTCCACATATTTTTCCAAAGGAATTTAGTTTTTTATTTTTCATTTGCCAGTGCATTATTGGAATCTAAACTACAATTTGTTTTTGTTTTCATAGAAGTTGATGTTTGAAGAATGGACCACAAAATTTAAAGTGATTCTAAGCAACATTATTCTTGTAGAATATATTAGTGTCGTTAGATTTTGATGTTTTTTTTCCCATTTTGAAAGTTTTTTTTAGTTTTATTCTTTAATAGTAAGTGTAGTTCTTAACAATTGTTACCCGTATTCTATAAGAAAGTATGTATTTATTGTTTTTATTCTTCAATTGATAGTTCAAAAATTTGTTATTCTACAAGAATTTTTTAAAGTCATGATCATGAAATACGTTCAAAAATGTTTTTATTATTTATGGTTCAAGAATATTTTTATTTTTGAATATACTCAAACATATTATGTCAGAATGTTTGAATTAAAAGAATTATAATTTGTAAAATCGGATTTTTAAAATTAATAGAATCTATGATCCCTTAAAACATGCAATTTTCCTTTATTAAATATATATTAATTGACTAAAATACCATTGTAATTAAATTAGATGATATTTTTCAATTATATTTATTTCAATAATATATATTAATCACTTTCTTAAAATAAATAAAATTGATTAGCCCACATTTATGCATATAATAACACCATAATTACTTTGCATAGAATAACCTAAGCTTATATATATATATATATATATATATATATATATATATATATATATATATATATATATATATATATATATATATATATATATATATATAGAGTCAAGATCAAATAAGAAGAGAATTTTTTGGTAGGAAGGTAAGAAGTTTTTTTTCTACATATTTTATTCGCGAACAAACAAAATGAATCATCAAATAATTCATTTGTAAGATGATTCACAAGAAAAAAATTCTCAAAAAAACATCTCGATGATTCATTTATACAATGAATTTGTTGTTATTCACTAAAATTATCATAAAAATGAATTTTTTCTTAATTTACTTAAAAATGAATCATAAAGATGTTTTTTTGGGAATTTTTTCTTGTGAATCATCTTACAAATGAATCATCTAGTGATTCGTTTATTTTGTTCGTCAAAAAAATATGTAGAAAATAAACTTCTTACCTTCTTACCAAAAAAAATTTCTTACCGGATCTATATCCTATATATATATATATATATATATATATATATATATATATATATATATATATATATATATATATATATATATATATATATGTATGTATATATATATATACAGAGAGAGAGAGAGAGAGAGAGAGAAAGAGAGATTGAAGTTTTTAACAAAGTAAAAATGATTTTTTTTACAAGATTTGAAATGTGATTTAACCAAAAGTGAAATTAGATCACCATTAATTACATGGCAGGGTCGGTCCAGACGGTGGACAACGTCGGCGACCGCCTAGGGCCCATGACTCTTGGGGGCCCAATATTTATGTATTATGTAGTTTATATATTAAAAAAAGTATTACCTAAATGATTTTTAGAACCTAAAATTGGTTGAAACTCAAACTATCTCAAAATATAAACAATTTAGTTTGCTTGTTATTGTTAATTAAATACATCTACATTGAAGAGTAAATGATATTTTTTTGAATCTCTATTATATTTGTCTTTGAAGGACCTTTTTTTTTCTTTTCGCCCAGGACCCCATATATGTTTGGACCGGCACTGTTACATGGGCTGATGGGATTATTAATCTGATGTTCTTTTTTGATAATTTCTATGATTTTGTAAAAAAATATAAAAACAAAGGTATATCAGAATGTAATAAAAACTAAAATTTTGTTAATGTGACAAATACTAAAAGTTTAGGTAAAATGTAAAAATAAAAAATAAATAAATAAATAAATAAATAATAATAATAATAATAATAATAATAATAATAATAATAATAAGTAGGATGAGACGAAAGTAATAACAATTTAAAAAAAAAAATTGAAGTAAAACGATAAAAAATATGGAGGAGGACCAAATTTGTAATAATAAAATTAAAGATATGTTAAAAATGTAACATAAGAAAATAGGATGGGGATGGGGCAAGCCTTGCTAGTTCCAGATCCATTTCCGACGGTGGGTTATTGGTAATGCGTGAATAAGGTGGTGTTTGTTTTTCTGAAGCAAAAATGTCTACAGTCTACGGATCACATTTGCATGCCTCTGCAGCAGACGAGGTGGACCAAACGTGTACATTCTATAATAAGAAGACTATTTGTTTTTTAACGTCTGTAGGTTGCTGAAATAAACTTAATTTTAAATAAAATGATTTTACAAACTTAAATTGATTTTTCAACACCAAAATTTTAATAATAATAGTCATACAACGCTGAAAATAAAATTCTTGCAACTAAATTAGTCATATAAAAAAAATTGTTTTAAAATAACAATTTCATTTAAAACAATTCAATCTATATTGTGCATCAACTGCTCAATAATTTCATCCCGTAACTGAGTCATATATTCACGGTCTACTGCAGTACCATGTGTTGGAATCTCTTCTTCATCATCATCAATGACCATATTGTTATTTCGAAACGAGACATTGGGTTCATCGTATCGTGCGAAATACTCATCACTCAGTCCTTCTCTCCTTATAAAATTCTGAAGCGCGAAACATGCCATGACAATTTTTCTTTGTGTAACAAATGGGAATGGTGCCATTCTCTTCAATATAGGGAAGCGTTCTTTCAAAACACCAAAAGCACGCTCAATGACATTCCGAAGTTTTGCATGTCCATGGTTAAATTTTTCTTTATTGGTAAATGCACGTCTTTGACGAAAATCTCCAAACCAATACCTCACATTACGATAAGGGGCCGTAAATTCTCGAGTGTGTGCATATGCGGCATCACAAAGATAATATTTGTCTGTAAAAAAATGCAAAACACTAATCAATTTTCAAACTAAGATAAAATATTTAAAAAAGACACAAACTTACCTGGCGGTGAAAATGGGAACGATGCTTGTGGATCGCTACTGCTTCTGATAATATTCTAGAGTCATGTGCTACACCTTTCCACCCGGACACAACAAATGTAAAAATCATATTAAAGTCACAAAATGCCAATATGTTTTGGTAGCAATCTCCCTTTCCCCTACTTCTATATAAGTCTTGTTTCTTAGTAGGGATGACAGCATGTATCAAAGTGTCATCAAGTGCACCAACCGCCCCCTTTGAAAACCCATCGTAACCTCCTATTATGTCTTGGAATGTTTGGATTCGGATTAAAAGAAGTTGGTACTATAACGTCTTGTGCAAAAAGCATCATTTTTTTCCAAAACTTCATAAAAAAATTTATGAATTGTTTGCTTCGAGCGTTGAAATCTTCTCTTGATAATCACATAACGTTGATTATGGCCAATCATCATAAAAAACATAGCCATCTTTTCCTCAACCGATACATGTTTGCTATCCTTTAATGAATAATTTTCTCTAAAATGAGCACATAGTCGTACAAAAGAGTCACGAGACATGCGTAGTACTTTTTATTCAGAAAACACACATGCATTGATAGTTGATTTTGTTACATCACGTTTAAACCACTTTTCAGGAAATATCGGAATTTCTGGTGTTTTACTAACAATAGAAAACTTTTTATTCAAACATGCTTATGAACTCACCAACATTATATATGTTGAAGATTTCAAAATAACTTGTATTCTCAGTGAACCGTTAAGTAGAAAGCTCAGCAGGGAATGTGGAATTTGTTGTATTTTTGTGATCATCATACATTGAATTTTCTTTTTGGCATGTAACTTATGATATTATACTTGATGTAAACAATGATGGTTGTATTTTGATATGTATGATGATGGTGTTGTCTTGTTTCAATTATATACATTGTGATGATATTACAAGATGAAATCACACACAAACCCCCGAACGTTTCCGTTGTCTGGTTCGAGTGTGTAACTGATTGGTATCAGAGCATTGTTTATAGTGAATTAGCATATATAATCATACTTGATATGCAAATATAAATACAATAGGACTAACACTCTGAATAAAATGATGCCTTGATTAAAAACAATAACACTAAAAGTCTATGGAGGAAATTGAACACCGTGATTAAACCTAGACAGTTATGTAGTCATATTGAGGATAAATATAGCCTGATCAACTATATTTATTCAAAATATGACCAACATGTGTTTGGGAGTAATCATGGCAGGAAAATGGATCTATAAGCTTA